TTGTATGCATTCCTTTAAAAAACAGAATAAAATGAGCATAAAATGAGCCAATTACCTTGCCAGCAGTAGCAAAAAATTCTCCATCCGGGGAAAATTTCATTAAATGCACTGAAAATGCTGTGCTGGAAGACAAAATATTGAAAGCATTTAGTAAGTGACTAACATAATCCAGTATTTCCCTGGAACAGAGAAAAAGGGCTCAGAATGAGTAACCAAACCAATTGACATATGGACCCAAGGACAACTCTAGGAACAAGCTGGTGAAAGGCACATGCTGGTAAAACAGCCCTTTGCACGAATTAATGAAGAGAACTCACTCAACTGGTTACAAGACCAGCAAGTTAGGCATTGGGTTGGAAAACACCCATGTGTGCCCATCTGTTGGTGCATGCAGTCACTGTATACCACCATTTGGACATATATTACCTGACGTATTTACTTCTCTGCCACCTGGCAATACCAATTCAACTGGTGAAGCTGGGGAAGAGAACTGCACAATTGTAAGCAGGAACCAGCACAAGCAATTTAATGTGATGCTCCACTGTACATATCATACATGCAGGTTACTCTAAACGTACTACATTTTACCTGCACTGCCAGATACATTTCCAGTTTGCAAAGTCTGCATCTGCTTTCTCCTGACAATCTTCATTACATAGTTTGTCCAAAGATGCATTGGACCATAGCTGTAGGCTGCTTGATCCAGTTAGTAGGCGTGTTCCTAAAATAATAATAATAAAAAACATTGATACTCTCTACTGTACTTAAAAATAAAATAAAACAATAGAACAGCAATGTAAAAGCCCATATGAGAAAGAAGAGCAGCAGGGAAAAGAGATTTATATGATCAACATTAATACGAACAATGATAGTTGAAGAGCAGGTCCAAGAAAACTGCTGAAGACAGAGATGATGTACAAGAGTTCATCATTCTACCTGCCAAAAGGATTTGCAATTAAGTTTAGCTACTCTAAGGCTGGGTTCACACCTAGGCGTATCAAATACGCGCATTTGTCACGCGTTTCGTGCCGCACAATTAGCTGTAAAAAACTCGCGACAAACGCACGTTTCCGAGGGCTACTTGGCTGTATCCCAATGGAAACGCGCGACAAAAACGCCCCAAAGAAGCTCCTGTACTTCTTTGGGCGTAGGGCCTTTTGTAGCGTGTTCATACAGCCTGTCATACGCCCAGGTATGCACCATACCCATAGGAAATAATGGGATTTCTGTGTTTGAGCGTTTTGCAGAGCGTAGGAACGCGCTACAAAACGCCCAGGTGTGAACCGGGCCTTAGAGTTACAAAGCACATCAAGAAAGATCAGTTACTTCCTGGCTTTACAATTTTTACTCGCTGAATCACTTTACTGCCAACTACCCAGGGGTGATGATGTTACTGAGACAGGAATTACCTGACTGTGCAGCATAATGAAAACGTGTAGATCACAAGACTGAATGAACAACATTACAAATCCTATTACAATCAATAAACCTTATAAAAATCTAGTCACCATGGAACTAGAAACATTGTGCTAGAAAGGTCTGCCCTACAAGTATAGTAAAGTGTATGTAAATTATTTTTATGTATGTTTGGCATCATGTCTCAATGTAAACAGTTGACAGGTCTGCAGGAGAAATGTGCAGACATGATAGGTAGGCTAATGGTCAACTGAAGGAGCAACAGTAAGAATCTTTGTAACACTTCAAAAAATTATTTAAGATGAATGTACTAATAATTGATTGATTGATTACAGGTTTACATACACTTAAAGGACTGCATTAACTGAGTGGGGGGAACCTGCGTCAACCACAATCTTCACTAGGGTCTGAATGCCTGAACTTAAAGCGGACATTTACCCATATCTTCACAATACCAGCAAACACACCTTTTGAAATGTTTAGTAATGACAATCTACAAACACATACTTCTAGATAATTGCAGGCTTTTTATTCTTTACAAACCTTATTTCTTTCTCTTTTCTGCCCCAGTCTTCTGACAGTGGCCATGTTTACTAAGGGCAGATTACGGGATTTCATATTACTTCCTGGATTTCTGGCAAATGTGGCTAGACATGTGACTAGGACATGTGACCATGCACATCCATCTCAGAGGAGGAAAATGCCTTTCCCTGAGATCTCATGAGATTACAGATGAGATTTCCTAGCAATGCTCTGCTGATGACTAGGGCTGCAACTAATGATTATTTTCATAATCGATTAATAAGCCGATTATTCTTTTTGATTATTCGGATAAAAATAAATAAATCCCATCCTTAATTTAAAATAAAATACACAAATGCAGTGTTGCAAACAAAGTTTACTTCAGAATAAAACTGCATGCGCATTTTTTTTAGCGATGGCACTTCACTTCATGGACCGCATGGCATCGCTGTACCGCGGTCACTGTGGATGGAAATGAATGGCACTGCAACGCACCTCCCACAGCAGAATTTGTCAGGCCTAAACCGAAAATTACTTGTTTCCCACCTTTTTATTTTTGTTAAATAATTGTATTGTAAGCACATGGCGCTTGAACAGCTTCAACCAGGGAATGACAGTGCTGTCCACAGACGGCAGCTCAATGTAAATACAGCAGGTAGTGGGCTGGTGCAATAGCCAGCGTGGTATTGGCCATTTCACACTGCAATAGCCGGCTGGCCATTGCACCCACCCGCTTGCTGTGCTCTCCCAGCATGGAGGAGAGAGCTGGGGGATCCCACCAACTAATCAATAAATGATAATTGTTGACAACTATTCTTATTATTGATCGATTAGTTGGTTGGAGCCCTACTGTTGACAAGGCAATCTCAGTAGGGCCAATCCCAAGTGTGCATCGGGTTGCCAAACTGAAGTAATTTTGCCCTTTCAAAGCAGGAAGTGAATGCTCTGCAAGTGTAAATATTTCAAAAATCACAGCATTCTACACCTGACATGTCTATGTTATTATTAATCATCGTACATAGAGGGATGCAATGGTAGAATGTAATATTCAGTGTAAAGGTCTGCTTTAATAAAGGAGCTGCTAATCAAGCTGAAGGTGAGTCACATACTTTATAATTCCTTAGAAAAGATCCGAGCGAAACCCACAGCTATCATTTTTATGTAATTATGCATTTCTTTAAATTTGAGAATGCACCCTTTGACAGAACTGGTAGAAAAGATATGAAGCATTTAATAGCCAGCAGTATACAAACATAAAATGTAGCCATAAAAAACAATTATATAACAATTATATAGCTAGTCTAAATGATGTCTAATACACACTGTTCCATCATAAATACTGGGCAGGACAAAAGGGTTAAATGAAGTGTATGACTCCGGACCCAACAGCGGAAAAGGTGGAACAGCAGAAAGGCCCAGAACAAAAGAAAAAAAGCAAAAGTGCCTCTAAAATCTGAATTGTACATATCCATCCTTCTTTCCCCATTTTCTCTTTTAAAGCAGCATACTGAAGTCACCTTTGATGCCAAAGTGTGTGGCAGAATCTTAGATAGCTAGTGTACAGAGGGCAATATTACAAAGTCATGCTAGAATTTTAGAACAGATTTATAGGTGCGCCTGCTATACAGCCGATTTGTTACCATGAGTATGCCATACACCATAGAGGGAGGTTAATAGGAAACATAGGCTGGATTCATACTTCCCCATTACAGTACATTGCGTTAACAAGCATTGTGTCACACATTATTGTGCGTTGCATTAGGGCAAACTATTCATTTTCAAAAGGGCTGCCAAGCCACAACGATGGCTCAAAAACTGACATGCAGCATATTTTCCAAAGCAGCACACCACAGTGTATAGTATGTTGTGGTGTGCTGTAATGCATGCGTGTTGGAGCTGCATTGCCTTAAGAGTGTTAGGGCGCCATTCGAACTATATGACGTTGCAACGCTCTAACGCATGTAAAATGCGTTAACATACATTGTTGCAACATGTGCTTTATTGCAACATACCCTATCCATTCATAAAATTCAGGTCACAGTGGAGCCTGCAGTGTCCTGTGGTGTTCTCTTTGCTTAACCCAACAGACAGCAGACTGTGCTCAGTTTATGTCCCCTTTTAACCTTTTTTTAACGCACCACTTGCTTCAAAAGCACCCAAGCAAGCAAAATGCTAAGCACGTTTGTACAGCACATGATTCTACTTTATAAATGCATGCGTTCTTTTATTAAAGCAATTATATGGCAAAGGTAAGGCCATATAGCAGCTTTATATGCGGGGCCCTTAGACCATGCCTAAGTAATTATGCTTAAATGATAGTTGGTTATTGTAGAAACTTTTGTAATTGTATTAGCTGAAGCCAGTTATTCTATTGAGAAAAAAATAAAATGGTTTGTGCTTGGGTTGCAAAGTACGGGCATTCCAAAAGATCACTTTCGGTTTCATAAATGGGCAAAATCATACTGCTTTAAGTTTTAATTTTGTCTATAAAGCAGAAATTAAAATATATGTCAGAAAATTAACTAAGTCACACAAAAAGGTGTCCAATACTACTGTGAGAAAAGCGGGCAACTGGTTCCAACCAATTTAGAAAAGGAAGCAGTAGATGCAGATGCACAATGACACAAGAAGAGGGTTATATCTGAATCTGCAGTCTGAGAAACAGACCTGGGTCTACTGGTCCTCACGTGAATGCTTCCTTAAAATGGTACACTCCAAATCTAAAAACAAAAAGAGATCACTAGGCCATGGAGGGACTGTTTAAAACGAAAAAGCCATATCTGAAACTGGCAAATAACAACAAAACAGGCAAAAAAAACCATAAGTATTGAATTACAGATGACTGGGAAAGAGTATTATAGAGCTCCAAAGAAGAGCTTTACCATAAAGTCAGAGAACAATGTCTTACAAGTAAGCCACACCCCTAGGAAGAGATACAAACGCTGTGGACTCTTGTGAGATCATCAATGTAAGGACTATACCTTCTGATCAACTTAATGCTGCTTTGGTAAATAAAAGTATCACCAGCTGTTAAAAACATGTTGCATGTTTTCACCTGGGAAATGTCTGAGTAAAAATGTTGAAAAAAAAAAAAAAAAAAAAAAAAAAAAAAAAGGGGGGGGGGGGGGGGTGCGCATTGAGGAACAGGGCCTTGGGGCAGCAGAGAGAGTAAATCCGGCCCTGCTTGCTAGCAGTAGATACATATTAAAAGACGCAGTGAATTGATGGATACAGATTATGGTAAAATGGAAAGATCACTAGGCCATGGAGGGACTGTTTAAAACGAAAAAGCCATATCTGAAACTGGCAAATAACAACAAAACAGGCAAAAAAAACCATAAGTATTGAATTACAGATGACTGGGAAAGAGTATTATAGAGCTCCAAAGAAGAGCTTTACCATAAAGTCAGAGAACAATGTCTTACAAGTAAGCCACACCCCTAGGAAGAGATACAAACGCTGTGGACTCTTGTGAGATCATCAATGTAAGGACTATACCTTCTGATCAACTTAATGCTGCTTTGGTAAATAAAAGTATCACCAGCTGTTAAAAACATGTTTCATGTTTTCACCTGGGAAATGTCTGGGTAAAAATGTTGAAAAAAAAAAAAAAAAAAATCGATGGAGAACCCACTAAATCCACTGAAACAAGAAACCAAGCAAAGGCTGTTGGGAGATCCCCTCTCTCTGCCACCCTTGTAAGGGAAAGCAGTCAGTGTTTAGCAGGGTATCCAACATGGTCTCAATGAACAAAGAGCAGGAAAAAAAATGTTTTTGGTGTTCTACTTTAATCCCCGCTTGACATCTTTAGCGGGGCTTCTGTGGAAGCAGAGCCCCAGAAGAGGCAAGCAAAGGAAGAGTCAGTCACCAGTGTTGCCACCAGGCTACCTGAAGCAAATCTTTTCCCCATACCAACATACTATGCCATGTTGCACACAGTGGAGAAATCACAGATCCACAGACTGGCTAATGGAGAAGCAGGGAGATGCTTGCACCGCAGGTCCTCCGCTACAGCTTCCTCTCCAGCAATCCCTCACGAGAACAATGAGATTAATGACATCACCAAATCTTACCCCAACTCTTCTGAGAACAGTAGTTAGGACAGGTTTGTATCTCAGCGTTTGTATCTCTTCCTAGGAGTGGGCAGGATTTAAATATGCAAGTCTAACGCTACATTAATGGCAGTGCTTAGGCAATGTCAAATGACAGGAAGTGCACTGTAATTTTTCAGGAGGAAATCAAAAGCAAATGGGAACATTTTCCAGGATACTGCTAAACCACAATTTACTCTATACGATGACAAATATGTTTTGTTTTTTAGTCTGGGTCCACTTTTAAGCAATTGAATCCATATGAAAGGAAGGCAACTTTAAAGTGGAATTCTCAAGGGGCGTTGTGACATTTCTGCGACAAGAATCCCAGGAGTCCTTCAGATGTGGTTGCTGTACCAATGAAGTTAATGACTTATGGTGATATGGGCGCATCAGTCATCAGCAGGCCGCACATGACCCTAAATGGTACAATTACATGCAGTTTAGAATAGATGATTGTCCCTGGACGCATCTATCCTGCGTCCACTTACAATCATTTCTCCCAAATTGCATGTAATCGTACCATGTATCACACAGACTGCAGCTGAAAGATGCAGCAGCTATTACCTTTAACTTAAATGGGTACAGGGGCCACATTTGAACGGGGATACCTGGGATTCCTGTAGTAGGACTCCCAAAATGCACCATGTGTCCCCATGTGAATGGGGCCTTAGAAGCACAGGACAGAAATGACAGCCTACAGCTTTTCTCAGTATAGGTTTCTATTGAAAACAAGTCCACGTTGGCAAGTCCTATATTTAGATCCCAATAGGTTCCATTTGAAGCTTAATTACCAACAATATTAACCACTCCTCTCCTTACAAGAATGCTCTACGGCTTTGTAGGATTTTGTTACTTTTGGAGTGGATGAAAACACATCAAGATGCCTGTACCACATGCGCTATTGACTTGTTGCGAATAAGATGTGATAAACACACTGCCTGGCTGCCTCTAGCTTTTATACTTTTTACATTCATGCAAATGCAACAAACATGCAAATCAGAATCAGGTTAGGATTCCCGGTATGCATAAGTGTTCTATGTAAGTGGATCAAAAGTACTAAAGTAATTGGATCAAAGTGAAAGCCAAGCAATGACAATTTTTCAGAAGAGGTCAAGAATAGCAACCTCCATATTTCCAAAGTACAGGTTTCTGTAAAAAGAAAGCAAATCTATTTTTATTTTGAAAAAGATTAAATTTTTAAAAAAAAAGTAAATAACCTAAAATGCAAACCAATAAAATCAAAAAAAGAGTAAGTTGGATGGTGGGGGTAGTTAAACAGTTTATTTTGTATTATATGTATGGATTTGAATAACAGCAGGAAGAGGCAGCTTACTAAACTGAATAAAGTATTTAAGCTTTGCTTACACCTTTTACAGTGATCACTATGACAGGTTGTCAAAGTAATTACAAGCCTCAGGAACCATTCTAAATATTTCCCAAGGGTAACCTGCAATCTAAGCTGTGTAGTGACAGCGGCAAACACAGGTTTCAGGTGCACACTGAATAACTAGAACACATGCATAGATGGTGGCTCAAAGCTATGCGTACTACATACTGCCATATGCTGTATGTAACATGAGCAATACAGAGGCAGTCACAAGCCTAGTGGTAATTAGAAATGTTTATGTTTTTAGTTGCAATTAATACTTAGTATTACAGAAATCAAAATAAAGTGAATACATTCGACAATATAACATTCCTTCTAGTTCATATAACTGATCAAATTCATCAAATGTAACATTCACTAAAGAAACCTCTATTTGCAGTAATTAGGCCTGGTACACACCGGGCATTTTGTAGCCCTTTTTCTGCCCTAAAAAATATGTCCCCCCAAAATCCCATTCATTTCTATGGCCCTGTTCACATCTAAGCATTTTGTCGCAAGAAGCAAAGCGCCTGTCGTTGGAAAAAGTACAGGAGCTTTTCTTTTGGCATATGACAGCTTGTTTTGGCCCCATAAGAGTCAATAGGAAACACTCATTAATATCAATGAGCTACAATCTGCTCACAAAAATGCACGGCTTGATTTATGCACGTAAAAATGTGTGTCTTAAACGCGCACAGAGATGAGAAAAAATGCTGTCACCTAGGTGTGAACCCAGCCTTATAGCTTTAGAGACCTTTGGCATTCCAGCTGTTAGTTTTGATCATAGGAACGTTTCATTTTTACCTTTTGTAGCTCTTCCTAGAAAATGCACCTTGCTTAACCAGTTGACATCCGCGGTGTTAAACCCCCTTCCCATCCAGGCCATTTTTCAGTATTCAGCGCTGCGGTACTTTAACTGACATTTATTCCGTCATGCAGCGCTGTACTGAAATGAATTTTATACCCTTTTTTGGGGACAGATAGAGCTTTCTTTTGGTGGTATTTATTCACCACTGGGGGTTTTATTTTTTTACTATATTAAGGAAAAATCACCGAAATTTAAAAAAAAAAAAAAGTGCCGTCCGTCCGTTTTTCTACTACGGGCGGACGGCAAGAGGTTAAAGTAACTCTAAACACAGGAGGTAAATCTTACAAATAGTTGAGAACTATGGGGTAAGTGTTTTTCCCCATAGTTCTCTTTAGTGTCACAGGAGGACATATACTCAACTCCTCCTGTAACCCAAAGCTCAGTATATAGTAGGCTATTGCCCGCTATATACTGAGCGCGCCGCAGCCGGGACGGATCCTGACAATACTGCTGTGCCTGCCCCCTCCCCATCCGTTCCTCCACCCAGTGCTAGAAAATCGGAGATGGGAAGGGGGAATCCCTGCGGGCAGGCGGGGTGACTGACAGTCACTGCAGGGCGCCGATCGGGAAGTGAGCGGATCGGAGGCATGTTTCTGCTCACTTCTCGATTGATAGAGCCGACCTGTCACAGCTTCTTTGTCACAGGCCAACTAACTATGAGGATGAGTGGAAATCACTCAACTCATAGTTCTCCTTTAAGTACATTAAAAATATTAACAAAAATGTATCTTATTTGTGGATCACTGGCTGTAGATCCTCAAATCATCTCTGGATTGGTGATGACACTGTCCTTCCTTCTGGAGGGGGACTGCTTTTGTTTTCCATGGTCCCCGTGTTTGTTTTCCATGGTCCCTGTGTGTGTTGTAAAGTAGACATCGATCCAAGCTCACTTCCGTGATAGACTACAATCTCATGTTTATTTTGCTAATTTGTAATGAGATTGTAGTCTACCATGGCAGTGAGCTTAGAGTTGTGTCTACTTTACAACACACACACAGGGACCATGGGGAACAAAAGTAGCCAGCCTCCAGAAGGAAGGACAGTGTCATCACCAATTCAGAGATGATTTGAGGATCTACAGCCGAGTGATACACAAATAAGATATATTTTTGATAATAGTTAGGGTACTTGAATGCATTTTTAAGATTTAACTCATGGAGTTTAGTGTCACTTTAAAAAGGAATTGTTCTTGCCATGCCATCAAAGGCAGGACCCCCAACTTTTTGTTTCTTCATTAAATAGGTCTAACGGCTCAGTTCGTCATACTGCATACTTTCACCAATCAAGCACTGACCACTGGGGCCAGTATTCCCAGATTCAGGTTTTCCTTGTTAAATAAAACATTTGTTTCTGGTGTATACTATTTAAGGAAGCAGCCAAATGAGGAGCTGCAAGGTCTGTTTCTGCAGGTGTGCATCTGGGCCTTATGCTTTTTTTTACTATCCTGGTTAGATTCACCTCGCCCTTTATTTCTTAAAATCTTAGTGGACATTTTTGTATGACGACATCTACAGTTTCTTGGAAAACGGACATTATTATACAGGATTGATATAGCGACAACAGTTTGGGCAGCGCTTTATAAAACAATTATTTATTTTGCAAAACAAAGGACTGACAAGTTTCGACTATTTTCTTACTCCAGGAGTAATATTTTAGAAAACTAGTATCTCACAATCAAAGACAGTTTTTTTTTTTTTACAAAAAAAAGGGGGTTTAAATAGTTCTTATACAATTACAACAGTTTCTGCAATCACAATTATGAGTACAAGCTAAGGGAGTTTACCATTAGGACACTGGAGGTTATACTAATACAGGTTCCTGTAACCAAGTGGTAGGAAATCAAAAAGTATATATTATTTACCTGCTGGGTCCCAGGTTAGATTATGTGCAACTGAATCCAATACTATGTGGCCACTCTTCTGCCATTGCGTACGACTTCCCTAAAAAACAAACGCATTAGTGGATTTATCAAAGGTTGGTAACGCAGTAGAAAACAAACATGTTTCCTACATATGTCTCTGTGCATGAGGTAGAGCACCACTTAAAATAAAAAAAAAAAAAGCTCTGTTACCTTTACGAAACTGGAGAAGCAAAAGAAAAATGACAGAGGCTGCACTTCAGAAATGGGCATTCTTTACAGATATCACTACTACTATTCTTGTGTATCAGGGCATTGCTTCAGGCACAATCAGAAATACTGACATCCATTTACAAGATCTTAAAAACGATCAATGAAGAAATACTTACTTGTGGCTGTGAGCTTTTTTGTTTTAACAGATCTGCAGGCTTAAAGATGCAAATCACGTTGCCATAGGAAGCTGCAATCTAGAAACAAAGTCAACAAGTCAGCAGGCAGCCACTCAAAATGATTTCTGCCAACATTAAACATGATTGACAAGTTTTCTGTTACAGTCTCTTGTTAGCCTAACACAACTCTTAGGTTTAGATCTAAACAGAAACCCCATAATATATTCAGGGGTGCAGATAAAAGGGGGGGTGGGGGGCAGGGAAGGTCCAAAGTGCTCACACAAGGTTTGTAAACTGGCTTATTTGTCCTTGCTGCTCCACCTCACTGCGAAATTCAAAATTCAGAGTGCAGGGCTGCGCTACGCGGCAGTACTGGGTACAGATAGTATACCGGCACTGACGGAGAGGAAGGAGCATTTGCCCAAAG